TGGGGAATAAAAATAATTCAATAAAGCTTATATTCTTCAAATCAATTCTTATTAATAAAAATCAATATATTAATTATTCTTTTAGATTTATATAATATTTTTTTATTTATTTTTAATATATTACTTATTAATCTTTTTTTAATTAAAATATTATTTTATATATATAGATTATCTAAAGCTTTTTGAAAAAAAGATTCAGTATAAGATATAACTTTGAAACAAAGATAATCTAAGTAAGTTTTTATATAATATTTATATTATTAAAGTATTGATTATTCAATCTCAATATATATACAATTCTATAGCATTTATTTATTATTTATTAATCTTTTTTTTAAGAATACTATAAAACAATATTTCTATCAAAAATATATCAAATAGAAGAGTATTTTTATAGATTGTATAAAGCTAAAAGAATGATTTCAAGGTATATATGCGAATTATAAGAGATAAGATAAAAGTAGAGTATATATTATATATAACACGGATTCCAATAAATTTATAATATTATTAAAGATATCTAAAATAAATATAATAATATATTTTGGGAGATGTACAATTTGTCCTAAATCATATCGATTTATTGATGGCTACAAAAGATAAATAATTGAGATTAATAATAAAGAATAATATAATATATTAAGAATAGAAGTAATCAATATATATTTATAAAAAAACTTTTATTTATAATATTAATATCTTTTGTTTTGAATTATTTATTATTAATACCTTATTAATATATATATTATATATATTAAATATAAGAATTAAAATTTTATTTTCTAAAAAAAGATTAAAACCAGTTCAAATAAAAGTATAAAGAATATAGATCTTTTTCCTTATATTTATTCAAAAAACAATAGAATTTGATTACAATTATTATTTAAATATATAGAATATTGATTATATAAAATAAGAAATTAAATAATTATAACAAATAACTTTAAATCAATAAAAAAAAAGGATATTCAAATTTCGTTCTGTTTATACCTGTTTTTCTTTATCAACTTTTTTATCAATCAAATCTTTATAAAAATTATATTTAAGTGGATTGTTTTTAGATTTAGTATATTGTAATATTTGAAATATTAGGATATCATTTATAGTATCAATTAGATTACTTTGAGAGGGGGATTGAGAAAATTTAAATTTATCAAAAAAGGGGTTTTTGTTATTAATAGATAAAGTATTAATAGTTTATATATTTTTTATATCAATTAATATATTTAATTAATTAATTAATAATATATAATTCATTAATAGAAATAATATAATTAAAGATATACTTTTTGAGGTATTATTATTAAATATAGATTCAGATATATCTTCAGATATATTTTAAATTACTTGAGTATTATTTACTTTAGGAATATTTTTTCTTAAAGGGATTACTTTAATTCTTTTCTTTGAATACTTTTCTAATCAATTCAATTTTAATTTTGATATTATCGATAGGTTTTCTTTTGATTGGAGGGGTAAAAAGGTATTTGGATTTCGATATTAGTCTTTTTAGATTATTTAATTCAAATTTGATTGGTGGATTTAAATTAAAAGATTATCTAATTGTATAAAAGCTTTTATTTATCTTTTAAAAACTATAATCAATAATATCCTATTTTATTAAAAGGAATATAGAATAAAAATCCTTTTTTTCTTTAAAAATCTTTCTATTTTCCAAGAATCTATATAATGTATTAATATTTTAGAAAATATGATTTGCGAGTATCTTATACCCAGCTAGAGTTATTGATAAACTATTAAATTGGATCTTTTCAATATTATTAATAAAATACTAATATTTATTAAATCCTTATAATTATATCTAGTAAATATTTCTAATAAATAAAGAAAACATCTCCTTTTGTAACCAGATATATGGATTATTAAATAAACAATTATCGAAAATTGATATAAATTTACTTATATATTTATTAGTTTTTGTATAATCCAATTCTTTTAATCAATTTAAATAAAAAAAAAATTGTAAAAAAAATAAAAAGGTATAATTAATCTATTAATATATATTTTAAAAATATTTTGAGATTATTTTCTATAATATTAAAATTAGAATAAAGGTATATAATCTTAGTCTAGGATATATTGATAGTGAATTTGATGCTAACGAGTTGAGGAATACCCTTTTTGTTTTTAAATCTCAAATCTAATTTTTTTGTTGAACTTATATCTTTAAGATATATAGTACTATTTTCAGTATATAATCCTTTTTCTTTAATTACTTTCTTTCTTTTTTATTAATTTGTATAATTAATTATCTATTTATCTAACTATATATTATTCCCAAATATATTTATTATATATTATAATGATAAAGTAGCTTCTTATTAATCGTTTTTGCTTTTTATAAAGAATTTAAAGAAAATAGAAATCGAATTTAATATAGAGAAAATACTAAAAAAGATTGATATAACCTCAATATCAATGTTCGAATTACTTGTATTATAGCAAATACAAAAACTAATGAATGTATAGTATTTTTTCTTATTGATAAAACAAAAAGATGTTTATTCAGAACCTTGATTTGAAAATCGATTTATTGTAAATATAAAAAAGATAAATAAAACAATCAATTGTATAAATAAAAATGAGAAAAGAGATACGAAATATGTAAATAAATCAAATCTTTAAATCCAAATTAGTCTAACCTCAATCTGATATTTTATTATTCTTAATCTCAATTTTAGATTCATTTCTAATTAAATAATCTATATCCTCATTTAAAGCAATCTCTTTTTCATATTATCTTTAAGCTTATACAAAAACTAAATTATTGTATACTATCTTACTTATAGTTCTCTTTTTTTTCATTATTCTATTATAATTATTATTGAGTATTAAAGATTTATATAAAAATAATTTTTGATTTAAATCAATATACCTTTAAAGATATTTATATAAAAAGTGATATATTAATATATATATAAGCTTTTCTTGCTTTATTTTGTTATTTAATTTTATAATATTCAAATTATATCCAATACTCTAAATAAAATTCTTACAGAATTTAATAATAACTAGAGAAAGATATTTATTAATATCTTCAAAATTAATTAAATATATAATTTATAATATAATAGATAATATATTCCAAACTTTATAATTTTCTAAAAGCTTTTCGCAAAGTTTAGATAATATTATTTTCCTTTTATTCATATACTTCTTTTAAAGGTATTAATATAATATAAAAGGTTTACTTATAATATAGTAAGGCCGATTTTTATTCTTTTAAATATTGTAATTATTTCAAATATTCGTATATCCACCAACTTCTTTTTTTATCCATTTGATATAAATTATAAGGATTACAATTCAATCCCTATACTAATCTTTATAAAATTATTTTTGATTTATTAATTCTTTAAAATAGTTTTAAATAATATTAGTAATTGATTGTATAATAAATAAAAAAACGGAAAAGTTTAAAAAAAATTAGATTAGTTATAATGGATTAAGAAAAATTTTCAACTATCCCCATAAAAAAGATAAGGGGTAAGGATACATACTCGCTATTGGTATTATAATGATATTTAAAATTCTTATTATTAGCTCTCAATATATTGATTTTTAATACTCTTTCTAAACCAAAAACAATCTCTAATCTTTTTTATATTCTCATCAATTTTACAAGAAAATATAAAGTAAACTTCGATTATAAAAAAAAGCTCTATCCTTTTATTTACTTTAAAAAACCTTAATATAATACTACTCTTAAAGCATTATATCAGATATTAATATATAACTAATCCAGAATACTTATTAGCTATCCCTACATATACCTATATAATAAATTATAAATATATATCTATATATATATAAATCTCGATCCCAATAAAGATTAATTTATTATATTCATCAATAAACCAAAAGAAGTTCGAACCGAAAACTCGATACTTTCTACAAACAAATTGAAGTTTTTTAGTATATCTATAAATACCTTTAGGATTTATAATTCAAAGTATATAAACCAATATATCCCTAAAACAAATATAGAATATTAATATAAATTAAATTTTGAATAAAAAAAAATAATATTATATTTCAAAATAAACTTCCCTTTTCTTCGAAAATAAATATACAATAACCTTCTACTATACCCTCAAATATACCCCAACTCGATATCATTTTTTAGAATATTGAAAAGTTATTAATCCTACTTATATTACTCTTTAAATAAAAATCTTTGAAAAAAACCAAATGATTTGTATATCTTCATAATATAATATATAAATATATTATACCCATCTACTTTGAAAACTATTTCCATCTCTTGATTATTAAATAATAAAATAAAATATATTACAATTTTACTTCTTACTATAAATACATTATAATCGATTCTAGACTTCCAATTCAAGCCCTATTCCTTACAATACTTCCCAATAATTCTAAATACAACATCAACATTAAACTTAATAAAAAATAATTATTAAATAACATCAATATTATATCCATCAAAATACCATTTCTCAATTGAAACTTGATATTGAATTAAGAAAACTTGAAATCAACTCATTATAATTATACAAATAAAAATGAATATAGAAATCGAGAAAAAATTAAATAAAATCGAAAATTTATAAAAATATTAAATAATAGGTTTTACAAAGTCTAAAAGGGGAAAGTATTATATCACATAAACAATACAATAACAAATAATCTAAATTCTTATTCACACACCACTATATACTAAATACAATTTTTGAAAAAACAGAAATCTATTTTTAGGGTTTATGCCAAATGCGCGTTATCGGCCTCAGTACAAGGCGCATGGAAGCTCAGCCTCGCGATAAGGTTAGCGAAAAGTACAAGACAATTTCGAAAGATACCGGATTTCTCAACATAACACTCAGCGCATCGACTTTCGAACGATGCCGCAAGACCCTTTCAAGCCTTCAAGAACTGATACCTAATTCGTTGAATATTCAAAACCTGCCATAATTCTTTCCTAAAGGCGACGAAACCGGAATCCCGCAACATCCACGATGGCGATTACTTTACCCCAATTTGGCGCAACTCGTCTACGATCATATATTCTCCGTTTACCTTTATTCACGAGATGCATAATAGCAATCATATTCATATTATGGCTTGTCAGTCTGCAGTCAGCTTGGGACCTCCAGAAATGGGGTGGCTTGTACCCGAATGAAATTGGGTTACAGTCAAGTAAATCTACCATCTCTAGACAGCACGCAAATGATTCCCATGGAACCGAAAAGCTAACATGGCGTTATCACTATAGTGTATCGCACGAATACCTTCCCATTGATACATATGGGGTTCATACATATGATAATGAACACTATTGCTCTAACCCCATTGTTGGAGAGATTTGAGGCGGAATATGGGACATTGACTACGTTGGCATTATTCATGGGTCGTAGGTGTACCTCGATACTCTAGGCGGGAGAGAACTAGAGCTAATGGATGTTATAGCTTTGTCGACGATTCCTGCGTTAATATATACATTCGTGGAAAGGGGAATCTTCCACATGAACACAGGAGTGATGGGTGCCAGGTGAGAAAAACATCCTTTCTGTTCAGCTCACAAAGTCTTGCTAACAAAGAATCTAGCATTTGGGTTTTTACTCTACTTGCAATGGAGGCGATCAAGACATATAAAACAAACCCAAACTTTGTATTGGGAACAGTACATATTCCAACATGGACTACACCAATTATCCTTACACTATTCATATCATTCTTGATACCACATACTAGCTTTCTTGGACATCTTTGCGGGCTTGTTTTTGGTTATGGATGTTAGTGCTCTTCTATCTAATGGTTCGGTCCGCTGGCTAACTTTTATAGGGGGACTGGGCTATCTCAAATTCTTAGCTCCACCAGAGAAGATTCTTAGATGGATTGAGGGCAAAATGAATCTCTTGGGACGATTACCACATTACGTTTCGGTTGACCAAAAAACCTATGGAAGATATGGATTATTACCTACTACCAACAATCCTATTATCTCACCGGAAACAAATATTGCGCTAGGATTTCCTGGCCAGGCACAGCGATTGGGACCTTAGAATATTGTACTCATCAGTCAATGATTTCCCTTCTCTCTGTACAAAGACTACGCATGATACGGAGTTTGGATGTTCTGGGAGCGATCATGCTTTGAATTAAAAACGGTGGAAATGGCATATGACACACGACTTCGGTTTCTACTTTAACATCAGTGGTAGACAAACCGCTGGTAGCTTAAGGAAGCATGGATAAATTTATAATTGTAAGCTTTTTAATGACAACTATATAACTAGATGAAGCTATTTGATGTCCGCCACGTTGTGGCTATCTTTATTCATTTGGTACATAATTTGTGTGAACTCTAATGACCGCGAATAAAAGTAACTTAATTTAATTGCTTTATGCTATTGTGAACATTCAAGTATGGCAAATCCATGATCTGTCGCGTAGGCTCCTGATCTCGCGTCTTCGGAACCTCGCCTCAATTCCGGGCATTCAGACAAGGCTGACAACCCACCCAAGCTTCAAGCTCCCAATGTGAGCGAAACAAACGCTCCTGATTTTGTGAGGACTTCTTCTAGCCATGGGGCTACTATGTAAGTGTTCCAGTTCATTGTAACCAATTATTCTAACAACAAAAAGCATCTACCGTCTTGCGACATGCGCCGGTTCGAAAATTACCACCATATCTATCCTTTCTTTGCATAGCCGTTGGTGTTGCATGGCTGTTACTTCTGCCATTAAATGATTATTCGAGAAACACTTATGTTTCGGAGAATGCGCTGTTGCCAGGCCAGGTCCATACATATTTTGCGGGAAGTGATCAGAACATTTTTCGTGGCTACAAGAGGGAGGTTGATGCTTTGGGGGAGAGCAGTAATGTTGAGTATGCGCGAAATTGTGGAAGAGATTGGAGGTTATAGCTGACTTTGCTATGCAGGGTTAATGATAAGCTTGAGGAATTCTTCAAGGCTACAGGACTCAAGGTTGCCAGACAAAAGTATGAATACAAATCCGCGGGTGAAGTTTACAGAGGAGAGAATGTGTATGCGATCTTACATGCACCACGAGGTGATGCCACGGAAGCAATTGTGTTGGTAGGGGCTTGGAGAAATATTGACGGGGAATTGAATCGAAGTGGTGTTGCTTTGGTTCTTACTCTGGCGAGATATTTCAATCGGTGGTCTTTGTGGTCAAAGGATATCATATTCCTGATTACTGCAGATAGTAAAGCTGGTCCTCAGGCTTGGGTTGATGCCTATCACGATACACATGAGTCTCCCGCTATTGATTCGCTGCCTGTCAAAAGCGGAGCTCTTCAAGGAGCTGTTGTCATCGACTATCCTTTTGATCACCGCTTTGAATCGATTCATATTGTCTACGATGGAATCAACGGACAACTTCCTAATCTCGATCTCTTCAATACCGTAGTCTCAATTGCTAGCGGCCAAATGGGCATTAGAGTCTCACTCCAGAAAATGTGGCAGCACAGCGATAGCTACCAAGATCGACTCAAGACTATGTTACGTGGTATGATAAATCAAGGATTAGGTCATGCTTCTGGACCCCATAGTAGTTTTATTCCATATCATGTGGATGCGATCACACTTCAACCATTTGGAAACGGCTGGCAAGATGAAATGGCCATGGGGAGGGTAATCGAAAGTACTTTTCGAAGTTTGAATAATTTATTGGAGCATCTCCATCAGAGTTTCTTCTTCTATCTACTCATGCAAGCTAATCGCTTCGTGAGTATTGGTACGTATCTTCCAAGTGCCATGTTAGTGGCTACAAATTTCACTATTATGGCAATTTTCCTATGGGTGAAGAGTGGTTGGCCTAGTCCCACCAAGACAGAATCTGTGCTGTCGCCAGAAAAAGGAGAGGAGAAGGAGAAAGCTCCATTGGTGATTGTGGAAGCCGGTGGATCGAAAGCCCTTGTCCCACAAAAGGATCTTCAAACGCGCGAACGCAAGCTTGCGCTTCCTCTTGCTGTTGTAGCTGGATGCCAGTTCTTGGGGCTCGTTCCTCTCTATATATTTAACCATACTTCTAAAGCCGTATGTCCCTCTCTAAACACAAATCGAAAAGAAACCAAGGCTAATATACGATCTAGAATCTTCCCGTAGTCTTCTTCATCTTCCTAATCCTCAACACCTTCCTCCCCCTAGCCCTCTCCACCCTCCTTCACTCCCCCTATTGCACAACTCCTACCCCCCACCAACTATCCCTCATCCAATCCTTCTCTCTCCTTCTCCTAGGCATGTACCTCTCATCCCTCGCTACCCTCAATTTTTCACTCTCAATCCTCATCGGTATCCTATCTTCCCCCTTGTCATACATTCGTCCACTGGGCCACAGACCTATTATCGCTGCTATACTTGTTGTTCTCTTAGGTGTTCTTGCGCCTTCAACCGTATTGTTTGCTGGTGCGAGATATTGGGGTTTAGATGTGGGAGATGTTTTGGTGGAAGCGGCGTTCGGATGGAATGTCGGAGGTATGACGACACAGGTTGTGGTTTGGTGCGTTTGGTGGCCCGCGTGGGTCGTGGGTGGGATGTTGCTTTGGGGGAAGCCCGGAGCGGAGGAAGAGATGGAGAGTTTGGATAAGGTTGCGAATGGGGTAGGAGGAAAAGTAGAAGTAGCCAATGGAGCGGAAAAGATATAAGGTGGCTTGCTGATTGCACAATTTCTAGATAGAATGGATGCAGCCACGCATAACCATCAGTAAACATGCAATTATAAAACAGAAGGGTATTGTTCTCATATCATTTCATTCTTTCGCAATGCAAATACAACTAACCCCAGGCATGCATGCAAGAGAGGGAATATCTATTTTACAGTCCGATGTGAAGCCAAAGACGCCATTCTTGCCTTTTCATTCACGATTATGATGCTGAGCCTCATGCTGCCCACACGTCCTGACCCTTCGACTCGATCCAGTTGCCCAGTGAGTTGACACTGGAATCCCATTCTTCTAGTCGTGTACGCATACCCTCGATTTGACCCATATCCAACACCTTAGGCTGTACCCAGTTGATACGTGCGATTTCATCAACTTGATCGATGCTTCCTCGCAACAAACCTAAACTCAAGGCCTTCATGATTAGATGCTCAATTTCGTCCGGGCGAACTTTAGTCTCCTCGGAGATTGTACGGAAGGTCATGGCACGGTCATGAGGAGGGCGACGGAAAACGGCTTCGGTGAGGGCGGCGAGGTAAATCTTTTGTTTGAGTCCGTCGCGGTGTTGTGCAAGTAGGGGGTTAGAGGAGATGTGACCGGAGAGAACATCGTAGGCAGCGAGATCACCACGGTTGAAAGCGAAAAGAAGATCTCGGAGCCAGGCGTCGTCCTTAACGAGGGTATCGAGGATGGGGTGGAGGAGGAGTTCACCAAAGTTATAGATGGTATCGGATACAAGAGCTGCGATGCTCAGATCGTAGGCTCGGCTTTTGCGCTCAGAGGGGGTGAGGTCGTTAAGGTCGATACAAGCTAGATATAGCAGGGCGTTTTTGTAATATGATGCGAACTCCAATTTGGATTGATAGTACTCTGCATTAACCCGGTAGAATGCAGCATGTACGATCGTCTCCACAGAGTCGAATCCATCTAAAATCTTCTCCGATTTATCCAAATCTTTTCTGGCCCCATCCTGATCTTGTAATTCTAATTTGACGGTGGCTACAGCCACTGTTGCGTAGACGTATGCATCTTGGGAATTGGGATTATCGACTTTCTTTGCTACTGCCTCTAGGAATGACAGGCGCTCTGAACCATCTAGTAATGAGTTAGCAGTTGCTTTAGTCTCTTCAATAGTATTTTATTACCTTTACACTGTGAAGCAGCGCTTAAAGCAAGAGTAACAAGCTTCAACTGATTGATCTTATCGGCGAATGTGAGGATGAATGTCTTATATATTGGTAATCGTTGGGAAGCGCTTTCTTTGTGATTGAAAAACTCAACGAGGGTATCTGTCAGTTGATGCCACAGCTTTTTCTCCCAGAGATCTTCGAAGGATAAGAAAAGGTGTTGAAGGTCTGCTGGCGCAGCATCACGTTGCTCTCCGAGAAAGTCTGGAATCGTGTCGACGTTCATGATGATTGAATGAGGTGGATTGAATTATAATTGGTTTTATCCGGATGCCCTGTATCCACTTGTACGCCGTTCAAAATCAATAAAAGTCGGATTCTTTGGGTATCTTGTTGTGTTTGTAAATGTTAGAAATTGAAGCTGTTTGGTTGGGCTTTTGATATTAAGGCGAGGCAACGAGAGAGCTGCGCAAGGTCGGGCCTAACCAGATTTAGACTAGTGTACTCCACGGCTGGACTCCCGCGAGGTCAATCTACAACTTCAACATCAAGTCAAATTGAACCCTGCCAACTGCCTTTGCGTCTGCGATTCAATTGATTTGTACCCCAGTCGCAAAAATGCAGAAATCCTGCAGTCCATCGACTCTTAACAGTCTGCGGACTGCTGTACGATCGAAAAGAGGAATTGAAAATGTACCTTTGAGCAGGAAGTTATCTGATGTCACTATCACAAGGACCGGAAAGCCCATTATTCGTACCCAGGGTGGCAGGTAAGCACTCTGAGATTGATTCTGCACTTTTACAGACCTTCTTGCTAATGTGTTGTAATACAGATCATCTCTCGGAGGTATATCTGCTCCCAAAATTGCAAATCCACCATCAACATAAGCCTAATTTGATACTATAGGGCATACCGCAACCGTTTTTGGTGCGACTGGTTTCCTCGGACGTTATATTGTGAATAGACTCGGTACGCGAATCTTTGTTATAATGCAAGGAACTTGGGCTGATGTGAGAGTGGTTTAGCAAGACAAGGATGTACAGTTATTGTCCCTTTCCGGGAGGAAATGGCCAAACGCCATTTGAAGGTTTCCGGTGATTTGGGTAGAGTCATTTTCATGGTATGGCAGAAAACCTGTGGGCAGTATTTGGGTCACCTTGACTTACTTCGGGTAGGAATACGATTTGAGAAACACACAATCTTTGGAGGAGAGTGTTAGGCACTCTGATGTTGTCTACAATCTTGTTG